CCCAGCCACTGCAGCCTCGACCTGCTGGGCTCCAGCGATCCTTCCGCCTTGGCCTTCCAAGTAGCTAGAACTACAGGCGCATGCTTCCACGCCCTGCTAATTTTTTTTTTTTTTTAATTATCGTAGAGATGAGGTCTCGCCAAGTTGCCCAGGCGGGTCTCGAACTCACGGGCTCAGGCAAGTCAGTCACCTCAGCCTCCCAAAGCATGGGATTACAGGCTGAGCCACCGAGCCCGGCTTGCAGTCTGACTTTTTAACTTCTGCAGCGAAGAGGGAAAGAGACAGCTGTCTCGTCTCACACATCTACATCAAGTGCCACAAAACAGAAAACTGGATCCCCTGGGATCAGCCCCCAGAACCAACTCTCTTATCCCTTCCTACACTCTTTTGAAGGACTCCTGTGGCTTCACAGCTTCAGTGACATCCTGGCCAATGCAGAGTGCTTGCATGAGGTCAAACCTCTGGTTGAGGAGGGAAGCAGCAGTGGGAGGCAAAATCAGCTCAGCAAGTCCTGGCCCTGGTGCAGAAGTGGCACCTCTTTCCAATTCTCACAGAGATCCTCGAAGTAGGGGCCGCTCAGACTGACTACCAAGATTTTCACCCCGTATGTACTGTTCCAGCTGCCCAGAGGACATCTGTACTGGGGGACGCCACTATCCTCTACAAGTCAAGGCAGCCAAGATGAATTCACATTGCCCTCCTCTTACCCATCAAGCCACCACTTTTTAAAATTTTATTTTAATTTGAAGTTGCGGGGTACAAGTCAGTATTGTGTATGTAGGTGGTTTAGGTCCAGGCGAAGTTTGGGGCCTCCCACTGGGCCTCACTTTGCCTGGATTAGGATGAGGCAGCCGTAGTGATGTTATGTGCTTCCTCCCCCGGCAGTGTCCCGCTACTGCCAATTCTTTTTCTGGAGTATTATGATAGGTGTTCAGGGTCCACTTATGAATGAGAACACAAGGTACTCAGTTCTTTGCTTCTGTGATAGATCACCGTGTATGAGAGACTCTAAATCCATCCAAGTTGCTGCAAAGTCCGTAATTTTGTCCTTATGGCTGTATAATATTCCACTGTGTATATGTATCACATATTTTTTTTTAAATCCAGAACAGTTTTGATGGTCAGCACGGCTGGTTCCATGTTTTTGCTATTTTGGAGAGTGCTGCAATAAACGTGTGCTGGTATCTTTTTTGTAGAATGATCTGAGTTCCTCTGGGTATATTCCCAGAAAGGGAATTGCTGGGTCACATGGGAGGTCAATTTCTAGCGCTTTTAGAAATCACCACACTGTTTTCTACAGAGGCTGAATGAGTTTGCATTCCCACCAACAGTGTAGAAGAGTTCCCTTTTCTCCACATCTTCAACAGCATCCGCTGTTTTTTTGCTTTTCTTAATGATGGCCATTCTTTCTGGAGTGAGGTGATATCTCAGTGTGGTTTTGATTTGCATTTCTTTGATGATGAGTAAGGCTGAGCTTGTTTTCATGTGTCTGTCGCATGCCTCTACTTTTCCACAGCACTTAAAGTTGTGACTACTGATCCTTAGTGGATCATCACTGCTGCCCAGAGACTCTGATCTAGTCCACGTCCTGGTCATCTCGCTCTTTCCCATCATTCTTCAAGCTCCAGTACCTCTTCCACTTCTCCACCCTCACCTGAGGACCTCGCTCCCTATTTCACCGAGAAAAGATGAGCATCTGGAAGCAAGCCTTCTCCCAGTTCTGCCTCCAACACCTGCACTTACATTTCTGGATTCCCTCTCTATGAATGAATTTTCCAGGCTATTTCAGTCCAGAGGTCCTAAATGCCATTAATACAGTGACACCCTAAATATCTACTTTTAGCCCAGACGTCTCCCTGAATTCCAGACTCTCATATGGAGCTTCAACTTAGCTTTCTAATTAATATCTCAGACTAAATTTGTCTAAAACTGAGCTCTATGCTCTTCTCTTCCTCTCTTCAGAGGGGAGGTATAATTTTCTCTACCTCAATAAATGATAACCCCAGCCAAAAACCCTGGTGTCATCCTTGACTGATCTTTTCATTTCAAATACCTTATTAATAAACTCTTGTAATTCTCCTTTAGAAAAAATGTCCAGAATGTCCAAACATTTCTGCCTCTCCACTGGCACCCTAATCAGGCCCACACTTCTCTCTCACCTGCATCACTGTGACAGCCTTCAACTACACCCCCTGCTGTCCCTCTTCCTTGACCAAAGTGTCCTCAACACAGTAGCCAACACAATCCTTTCCTAATGAAAATTAAGCTTCCTTTCAGAAAAATGAAAAGTTCCTACCATTATCCAATGAAAATTCCTAGAAGCAATGACAACCCTGTAGCAACAGGGTTGGTCTCCAAATATTAATGCCATTTCCCACCACAGAGAGTCAAGGGATCCTCAGAAAAGTGGTTGACTCCAAGTCTGGGGTAAGAAATGGCTAAGCTGGTTAGGCACGGTGGCTCCCACCTATAATCCCAGTACTTTGGGAGGCCAAGGTGAGAGGATTGCCTATGCCCACGGGTTCAAGACCAGCCTGGGAAACTTGGTCAGCCCTCATCTCTACAATAAATCAAAAAATTAGCTGGGTGTGGTGGCATGTGCCTGTAGTTCCAGCTACTTGGAAGGCTGAGGTGGAAGGAACACCCGAGCCCAGCAGGTAGATGCTGCAGTGGCCATGAGTGTGCCACTGCACTCCAGCCTGGGCGACAGAGTGAGACTCCAACTCAAAAAAAAAAAAAAAAAAAAAAAATGGCTAAGTTGATTCTGGGACATCCCAAGCCTGAAACTGAGGAAACAGTGAAGACCATGGGGTGCTCTCACAAGGGCACAGCAGCCAACTTGAAGGGATTCCTCCTGGCCAAAGATGGAACAATTTGAGTATCGCAAACATTAATGAGAACCTTATCTTTTAGATGTATATTCTGAAATACTGATGGAAGAAGTAAGGCTTGAGATTTGCTTCAAAATGACTTGGAAATGGGAATTTGAGGAGCTGGTGGTAGGACAGATGATACCAGACTGGCCATGGGTCAAAGTTATTAAATCCAGGTGACAAGAACATGTTGGCTCATTACACTATTTTCTCTTTGTGCTATATGTTTGAAAATTCTCAAAGTGAAAAGTTTTGAAAATAAGTAAGTGATAAACTTGAGCAAAACATTTCATTCAGAGGTCAAAGCTCCCTGTGGTTTGGCTTGCTTTCTCATCTTCCATCCTCCCTCCTTCCTCTGCTCCAGCCATACTAGCTTCCTTGCTACTCCTCCCATGCACATGGCACGCCCACCCCAGGGCCTTTGCACCTGCTGTTCCCTCTGCCTGGAACATACTTTCTCAGATACTTCCTGCCCCTCAGATGTTTGTGTGGCTCACTCCCTTGCCTCCTTAGGTCTTTGGTACCAGTTAGGCTTCTTAGGAGAATCGTTCCTTGACATCCTGAATACAAAAGCAATCTACTGCCCAAAACGCTCTTTCTTTGCCTTAATGTCTACCCACAACTTATTGTCAGATGATGCCCACACATGTGGATATTATTGGTTTCCTTCTCAAAGAACTTAGAGTACACGAGGTGAGAACTCTGTTTTGACGCCAGCACTGCAACAGGGCCTGGCTCAGAGAAAGCACCCTGAAGTAAGATAATCAACACAATCAATACACACAGCACTTACAACGCAGCAAGCACTGCTCTAAGATTGTACTAAGTAGCAGCTGACTTGTGTGAGTGGCCCAGGAATGCCCAGGAACTCCTGGGTTCAAGCAATCCTCCCCCTTTTGCCTGCACCTTCCCTTGGGTCAGCCCTCCCCCAGTGTCCAAGCGCTCAGCTCCAGTCCTCCAGATCCATGGAACAGCAGATGCATACACTCCTAGACCTCTTCTCTGAACATCTAGAACATCTAGTAACTTCAACACTAATAGTGGCAACCATGTTATTTATTAATGTTTTCTTTTTATTATGAAAGCAACATTAACATATTACAGTACATTAAGAGAAAAAGTCACCAGTAAATCTTACCAGAAACCAACTGCTGTTAAAATTCTGATCTATCATCTTCTAGTTCACTCTCTCTGGATCTTTTCAGTCTTTTTTCATAAATATAAACATCTTATTTTCTTTAAAGGCATTAACATTTTCAAAACTTAATTCTTTGCACTCAGATGTTCCCTCTGAGGGGATATCATAAATCTAGCAAACCAATACAATGTCCCCTCTCAAGGGATACAAAGAAATTGCTTGTGATTATACAGGACAAACTTATGCCAGCGCAAATTTTTAAAAAATGTATGTTTCCCCGAAGTTTTCCACTTAAATTGCACGAGAAAGCAAATAAAGAGATGGACTATATACTGAAATATATGTTAAAAAAATCAGCTGGCGTTACACAGAAAGAGAATGTGTAAAGTGCTTTCACAGTGGTACACAGACTGGATAATAAGTTACATATTATTAACGTGGGAGGTCTAATTTACTAATTTGTCTGCTCAAATAGAAGACCACCAGGTGGAAGACATCAAATGACTATTGCACAACATGTATCAATGGACCTGCAATGCATGCCAGTGACTGTTTCACACATGACTACACATTAGAAAGATGTTACAAAATTGATTTTTTTGTCACAAATAAGTTCCTCAATGTCCAAAATTCCATAAGCCAAATATCATTAAAATAAAATAACTGGTTCCAACACTACAATATTTAATATGAAGTGATTTGATTTTCATTATCAAAAAAGTACAGCTGAGTTGCTGGTAGGTGATCTGTGAGATGTCTCCAAGTGCAAAGAGTTAATTTAAAGAGTTAATTTTAAGTGTCACCAAAATACAGAAAGCAAACAAAGAGCCCCAAACAGTGGTCATTTTAATGTATATTTCTCATCTAGTGATTCTTTTTGTTTTTTATTTATTTATTTTTTTTTAGGGACAAGGTCTATGTTGCCCAGGCTGGTCTTGAACTACTGGGCTCAAGCAATCCTCCACGTAGGCTTTTCAAAGTGCTGGCCTCTCATCTAGTGATTCTCATAGGCCTCTCGGGTTAAGAATTACCTTGCTGGTCTTTCTTCCTATTTCTAGTTTTCTCATGAGTGTTTCTTCCCCTCAATCAAAATACAAATTCCTTGTGGAAAAAATCAAGACTTTTTTGTATCTGCAACAGAACCTGGCTAAAACTGAAGGAATCAAAATAAGCACTAAATAAAGTTGGAGCATAATCCGCCATTTCTGGCCTGCAGGAGCCCCCCATACTTACCGGATTCTGCAGAAAAAGGATTTCACTGGAGCATATTCATACTGAGATGCTGCTAGAAACAAAGACAAATTGTCAATCACTCCCTCCTAGTGCTGCTCTTTCTCAGCAAAACAATACTGCACTACTACCAAACCACCATTGTTTTAAAGAAAAGAGAGGTCCTCTTGATTGAAATAGAACTCTTTCCCCCAATTTCAGATCCAGCCACAATTCAGTGTTTTCCAAGGCTTCCTTCATATTAGCACAACAGCCCTCAGGCCACACAGTGAGAATCTGACTTCCATCTCTCCCTGGTAACTTCCTATAGGACTTCCCATTTCTTTAACTGCCCATATTCATGACTGCAGATGTCACTATCATGACTCTGACAAAATTATTTTGGTGGTAGTACTCTATTCCACTGTAATAGTCTGGACATTCTAAAAAGCAGAAAACTTAGACTATTTTCAACTTTTAGATACATGATATATAACTTATTTTTTTCTTATTCTTTAAATTCTTTCTTTGGATGCATTTCAAAAAGTTGTGTTTCTAGGTGAAATGATGTGACCATTTTAAGACTCTTATCATATATTTGGCAAATTAATCTCCAAAGATTGTACCAATTTACAATGGCATTAGTGTTTTCTGACATGTCAATGGTTTGCCATCAATTTTACTGGATTTATAAGGTAGCAATTCAGAAATGTTTAAATTTGTTTATCTATCTTCCAAGTTTTTGTGGGCTATATGCATTTCCTCTGGCTAGAGTTCTCTGAATATCTTTTGGGCATTTGTTCACTAGAACGAAAAGTCCTCAGTTATGGGAACCATGGGAAACCTTGAAATGTTTAAAAAATATACAATGAGCCAGGCTCGGTGGCTCAGCCTGTAATTCCGTGCCTTTGGGAGGCTGAGGTGAGTGGATTGCCTGAGCCCGCGGGTTCGAGACCCGCCTGGGCAGTGATACCTCATCTCTACAATAAATCAAAAAATCAGCAGGGCATGGTAGCGCATGCCTGTAATTCCGGCTACTTGGAAGGCTGAGGCGAAAGGATCGCTGGAGCCCAGCAGGCGAGGCTGCGGTGGCCGGGAGCGGCCACTGCACTCCAGTCTGGGCGACCAAGTGAGACTCCAACTCAAAAAAAAAAAAAAAAAAATTTTTATATATATATATATATGCACACACACAATGAAGGTAGCATAAACGACAAGCATCCTAAAGAAACAAAATACTGAATAAGTCCAGGTCTTTGTGCTTCTAAAGAAAGGAATATAGGAAGAATCAGAAAAGGGTCTCTACTGCAATGTCGACTTGTTTTTACCATTTATATATTACACCAGGTAGCTGAGTTCCAACTGCATTCACTACAAGTCCTGTACCACTGAAAAAGCCATATTACGAGACCCAAGAGAGCAGACATGAGCCCATGATGCATTTCAACAGCTAGGCTGTAGCTGTGTGTGTTGTTTCTGGGAGTGTTTTCTGGAGAGACAATGGTTAGATTCTTCTGAGAGGTTTGTACAACACGTTTTAAGTAGAAACATGTTCTAACGTAGGACCAAAGGCTGATGACAACAGCGGAGTACACAGCTTCCTATGGCCTCTTCGTGTTCTATGAGTTCACAGGAAGGGACTGAAGGAGGCAACATGGGCCCTTCGAAAGGGGGTGGAACTAACCAACTGCTATCAACAGGAGTCTGAATCTTTGAGATTTACAAGGCAAAGGCACAAAATGAAAATGAAACTATATTCACATCCTATCTTTATGGCTTAAGTATTGATCAAGGTCCAAAAGGGCAATTTCACAGTATATTAAGATTTTACACACAAGGGAAATGACAGAGCAATCAGTAATCAGCAAGAAGAAAAAGCTGAAGAGACACAGGCAATGTTGAAGGAAATATATCTGGGGGAAAATGTGAAGGACCTGGCAAACAATATTATGTGCCTGTCCTGTTCAAGTTTTATCTGTTTCTAGAGTAGTTCCTGGCCCACAGTTGACTGTTGAATAGATGCTTATGGAATGAGCAGATGACAAACGAAAGCAGAGAAACAAATATGGGCAATTCGAGATTGAAAATGTGTATTTGCCAGGCGTGGTGGCTCACGCCTGTAATCCCAGCACTTTGGGAGGCAGAGGTGAGAGGACTGCCTGAGTCCAGGGATTCGAGACCAGCCTGGGCAACTTAGTGGGACCTCGTCTTTTGATTTATTTGATTTATTCCAATAAATCAAAAACATTAGCTAGGCTTGGTGATGCATGCCTGTGGTTCCAGCTATATGGAAGGCTGAAGCAGAAGGAATGCCTGAGCCCAGCAGGTTGAGGCTGTGGAGGCTGTAAGCGTGCCACTGCACTCCAGCCTGGGCGATAGAGTGAGACTCCTACTCAAAAAAAAAAAAGTGTATTTAAGAAAAAGAGAAATGACTTAAAAAGGATAACAATAAATAAAAATCACATACTACTGAATGTCTCTCTCTCTCTCTCTCACACACACACTCTCACAGAAAAATAAGCATTCCAGAAGGAAACAAAGTAATAAGATTCAAGAACATTTAGGGGCAAGGAAAACTGGAAGAGAGCTAACCATCAGAATTTTATGTCCAAGGTAAAATCGATTAGACAAAGAATCTGTGGAGTCAATATGGGTGGGAAAACATTTGGCTTTATTTACTTAAAGAAAACAGAGCCTTCATTTAACCTTCAATTAAACTGATATAAAGTATGCTGGTAATCAAATCATACTTATGATATATAATCTTGGAAACTGACTTGATGAAATGAAAACAAATGTGTTGGTCTTTATGTCATTAAAAGTATTTAAAATGCTGTTTTTATTACATTCTGACTTTTTAAGAAAAAAGAAAAACTATAGAGTTTGCATGTTCTAAATAACGCATTAATTTCTGTACTATTTCTGTAACAACAATACTGATCTTGATGAGGCAAGATAGACATCTGAATATCGGTCCTATTACCTCTTTGGGTCCAATTGTTCCAGGAGGGAAGCTGAGCTCGGGCAGTGTGTGCATAGAACACCCTCACGTCTTGAGGGCCAAGCAGGTCAACAAAGTGAAAGGTCTCCAAGAAATCTTTCTTACAATTCAGGATCGAAGCAGCCTGTGCAGAAATGTGCACTAACCTTCCAGACAGAAAGGAAAACACTGCCACAAAGGTATCCTATGAAAAACATTTAAAATAAATGCAAATATTGAGATATTTGCTAGCAATATTCCCTGAAAAGTAAATTTCTTCTAGATTTCTACCATGATCAATAGCTTAAAACACATGCACATACCCTACAAAGGCAACAAAACTCCTCAAACGCTTTTCTCCAACATGCTTCCTAAATAATATCAGAAAACCTGCAATTTGCTTTCTCAAGGTTTGATTTCTATGTCAAAAAAATACATTAGCTCATTATTCTATGCTGACTAAACATACTAGATGGCCCATAGACCGTATAAACTTCTGAATCCCTCTTCTTTGCAAACTGTGTTTTGCTTTAAGACAAGCTCAAGATTTCCCTCCTGCAAAAGTTGGCCTTGACAGACCTAATTACGTAAGAATCATTGCTCTAACTGCTTCCATTAGACACAAATACAACTTACTTAAAACAAGCCATTGCCTGTGTTTGCTAGTATTAGCATGCTTTCCTCTCTAGCTTTATTTTAAAGATCTTAAAGGATAAACGTCTTCTAAAACAGTTTTTTAAAATCTTCATTAACAACCTGCTACAGGAGGATACACACACCAGTCTGTGAAATAAGCACTAATATAATACTAGGGATAGTTCATGTTTTATATTATAAAAATCTTTATGCTAACAACTATGTTGAGGTCTAAACAACATAAGTTATCTCCACCATATCAATGAGATTTAATGACTTTATCAACAAGAAGAGATTCAAAAAAAGATACACTAAAGGTCTCTTCCAAAATGTTACAAAAAAATAACAGCATTTCAACTCACCTGTTCTATAAAATCCAGTTGTTACAACTTGAAGTAGTAGGTATTGGAACTAAGAATAATATAAATAGAAATTAACAATTCGGAAATCAGAATAAGATGCAGGAAATTACTCTGCGGTGTTATTTTTTTTTCCTCTTCATTCAAGAGAACTCAGGAATGCTAAGGAGACAGAAGCATCTCAGGATGCCAGGGCACAGGCCATGTGCTACTTCTGCATCTGGGCATCTTCCCTGGTGAGGGCAGAAGCTACAACACCCCTTCAGCAGTTTCTCCCCTGTTTACTTCGGTTATTATTTTTAAGACCTACATCTAGAGAAGGTCCTCAAGAAAAGCCACCAGCTGACAGGCAAATTTGTGATCTCTTACTGTGTTTTTGGATGTGTGCTCTGAGGCAAGGGCAGCCAGCTCCTCAAGGTTGCACAGGGTCTCCTCCCGCACAGAGGCTCCCTCTTGGTGGAGAACTGAGAAAAACTCACTGTTGGCTGAGAAACAACAGGAAAGAAACAGGTAGTGCAGTGACAACACTAGCCTCAGGGCATCCTTTGACCACTATCAAGCCGGATTACTTTTCAGGATAACACCTCAGTGCATTCTCCTCAAAACCAGGTCATTTTCTGCTTTCCCCTAAAATACTGAGTTGTGCGCACTTAAGATTTTGAATTGTAAGAATCCTCCACATTCCTGATCCCAAGGCGCCAGGCACTAAAGCAAGTTACTGAAACCAAAAATGAGGAACCACAGATCCTATATGAAGCACAGAGGGATTTGCGCTAAAGAGAATATGAAATTCCTTGAAAAGCCAAGGAGAAAAACAAGAAAATGTCTACAGCATTTTAAATGTGGTTAATTCCTGATGTATCATGACTGTGTTTTAAAAATATGTGCATGGCCGGGCTCAGTGGTTCAGTTTATAATCCTAATGCTTTGGGAGGCCGAGGTGAGTGGATTGCCTGAGCCTGAGGGTTCGAGACCCGTCTGGGCAACTTGGTGAGACCTCATCTCTACAATAAATCAAAAATTAACTGGGCGTAGTAGCACGCAACTGTAGTTCCAGTTACTTAGAAGGCAGAGGCAGAAGGAATTGCTGGAGCCCAGCTGGTCGAGACTGCAGTGGCTGCTCCCGGCCACTGCACTCCAGTCTGCGTGACAGAGTGAGACTCAACACACACACACACACACACAAAATATATGTGCATGACAGGGAAGGATAACTGTATTTACTCAGATGTATCCTCTGCCACATTTACACAAGGAGACGTTCCTTTAAAAAGTTAGTTCCTGGTTGGGCAAAGTGGCTCAAGTCTGTAATCCTAGCACTTTGGGAGGGCAAGGTGAGAAGACTGCCTGAGCCCGAGGGTTTGAGACCAGCCTGGGCAACATGGTGAGACCTCATCTCTACAATAAATAAAAAAATTAGCTGGGCGTGGTAACGTGGGCCTGTGGTTCCAGCTACTTGGAGGGCTCAGGCGGAAGGAGCCCAGCAGGTCGATGCTGGGGTGGCCGTGAGCATGCCACTGCACTCCAGCCTGGGCGATAAAGTGAGACTCCGTTAGTCCTCAAAATGTACTAATGCTGAAGTCTACTCTCTTGCAACAAATCAGCAAAATATTGCAGACTTTCTGAACTATCACACAAGTAAGATTTTACTGACCTTTCAAATGTGAAACATTAAGACACTAACAGCATCAGTGTGGATTTGCTCATCTTACATAAAACACCATAAAAAGTTCAAAGTATCTCTGTGACTAAAACCCCATTGTCCACTCCTCTGGTTGCTTTGAGTCCCAGTGCGCCGGTGGGGTCGGGTTTGTCTCCAGTTCCTTTACCTTGCACGCTGTGTACACAGCGAAGGGCGTAGTTGAGGGCATCCAGCGTGCTTGGTTTACGGTGTCTCTCGGACGGGAAGCACTTTTTCATTTCTTGGACGACCATAATCAGTTCTTCAGAAACTCTGTTTCGATCTTGCCGTGGGCTGGAAGATAAACAGTGATTCATTCACACCTGCAAAGATCACAACAGCCAACAGGCAGGGGACGGCAAGGGCGACCACCTGCCAGGCCACCTGTCCAGAGCTCTGGCAATCAGCTCCTTGAGCTCACAGGTGTGTCTACCCTTCCCTAACACGCAGGGAGCCAGAAGCAAAGACACTGGCCAATGCCCAGCACGTTCCACTCGAGTCCCAACTCCGCCACTTCACTTTTTACCTCCTGGTTCCCTCCGGTCATTTCCTTGCGGCCCACGTCATTTCATCCTACCAGGGTGACTGCCAGGTCCTACGTCTCCCCCTCCACCCAAGGAGTCAACAGACCCAAGTCTAAGCCCTCCTGTTCCTCGTCCTGCCCCAGCGCAGACCCACGAGCCCACGGGGCCGCGGACACGAGGCCGGCGTCACCTGTGGCTGCGCTCCACGTGTCCCCGCTGCAGGCGGAACCCGGGGCTCCGCGTCTCCGCCTCTCCGCAAAGCGCCGCTCCGCCGGCGGCCTGGCCCCGGGGGCCGGGAGGGGCCCTGCGGGTGGGCACGCCCCGCTCTCCTGGCCCCGGGGGCCGGGAGGGGCCCTGCGGGTGGGCACGCCCCGCTCTCCGCGGGG